CCCCCCCCACTGGGGCCCTGTCCTCACCGGCCGGGCGGCGACGGCAGCGGGACCCTGTCTCTCCGGCAACTGAGCCGGGGCGGGTCCCTCAGCCCCCGCGCCGGAGACCGCCGCCTCGGCTCGGGCTGTCACCTCAGCCCGGGGTCACGCCGCGAGCATGCGCAACAGGACCACGATCCCGATCTCTCGGGGGTATTCCGCTTTCCGGGTCTTCTGTGCGCTGTGCCCAGCCACGGCCCGGCCAATCGGCACCGGGGGTGGAGCCAAGACGCGCAAAGGGGCGGGGACATGTGGATTGGGCGGTGCCGTTGGGGGCGGGGCGTCAGCGCGTCTCGGGGCTAGGCCTGAGCTCCTGGGCGGGACCATTGCAGCACCAGAAGTGGGGGACGCGTTTCACTCAGCCGGCCGGGCTCTCCCAGGGTTTGCTCCGCGCTCGCTGCGGAGGAAGCGGAAGCACTCGTTTTTTGCCTCAACGGGCCGTGTCACTCTTCGGATCCAGCTCGGGGAGGGTTTGGTGCAGCTCCGGAAGGCTTCGTCCTCCGCTCACACCTTGGTTTACAGTTGGGCGCAGCCCCGGTCTCATTGGTCCACGCCTCTCTCCCAGCTCACGCCCGCTGGGAGCTCTGCTGAGCCCAGTTCAGCTACGTAGAAATCAAGGTCTTCTGTAGATTTATAAACAGTGATAATGTAGAAGCGTTCAGGATTACTGATTATTTTTTCTTAGAGTGAGTGTTATGGATTGAATTACGTCGTCCCCCTCCCCCGGCAAAAAAATAAACCCCAAAACATCATGTTGGAAATCTTAACCCCTGTATTTGTGCTTACATGTTGGGCTGCTAGCTGCAAGGTCAGCAGTTTGAGCCCATTCCCCGTTCTGCAGGGAGGATGAGGGAGGCCGACAGCTTTGGAAACCCACAGAGGCAGTTCGGTGTCCTACAGGGCCCCTGTGAGAATAGGCATTGGGTTTAGTTTATCCTTGAGTATGTGTAATCCCCTTAGGGAGTAGGCTTTGCTAGGTGGGTTGCTGAGGCTATAGTAGTGTTGGATGGGTTTTAAACCAGTCACCACTGAGATAGGAAACATGCTGATCAAGCACGGAGCAGGAAGCAGAGACGAACAGAGAGAGAGATTTGACACTACTTGGAAGGTCACCAAGGACGCGAAGCTAAAAGGAATTAGCTTGTTCCAAGAGCCTTGTCTGGCAGCGGATGGTGGGTCGGAAATAATGCCGTCACATGGTCACATGTGAGCGACTAAAATATCCTACCTCCAGCCCTCAGTTACCATGCCAATGCATTCCCCTCCCTGGGTTGGTGTCCTCTGGGCAAGAGAGGAGGGCCAGTGCATCCTAACTGGGCAGGGGATGGCTGAGGTCAAAGTTCCTGGGTGGTCCTGGAAAAACTGCCTCTTTTGCCATGATAGCAGAACAGAATGGTCCCCTGCTTATCACTGCCACGTGTGTCCGTGAGTCTGTAGAATCTAGCTCCAAAGGGGAGTGGTATATAGAACGGAATTCCAAGTTCTCCTGGGGTTCAGACTTCCCGAAGCCACAGACGATGGTGGCATCCCGGAAATCACTGCCCTGGGATGAACTCTAAACCTTAAACCGAAAATACCCCCTGAAGTTCTCTAAACTGAACAGTTCAGTTTATCTGAATCCACTTCCCTAGCATCGCTTCCAACTCATAGCACCTCTAGATGGGTTTCTAAAACTGGGCATCTTTACAGGAGTGGGCAACCTCATCTTTCTTCCGCAGAGCGGTTGATGGGTTTGAACCGCAAACCTTGAGGTTAGCAGTCTTAACACTTATCCCACAGCGCCACTAGGGCTCCTCAGTGGCTACCTCTGAGGGATGGAATTGACCAGAACGATGGGAGAGATTCCATAGGAAACCGAGGGGCAGTGAG